AGAGAGGCATGCCCTGCACCCCCCTTAAATCTGTGAATTCACAGGGGCACTGATCGGCTTGGCCCCGCCCCGAGGGGGGGGCTGACAAAGGCAAAGGGGGAGCTTTTCAGGTAGCTTCTGAAAGGACCATGTCCATAGCCCTTCCCCTGTTACCAAAGACACAACCAAAAACCCCTCACAGAAAACCCAGTACCAGTGTTTTGGGGGAGCTGAGGAAGAATTGCTGCTCCCTTTGACGGCGTCGACGGATACAAATTGAAACGCGCTAGCGGACGCGTGCTCTCGTGTAACGGAGCTGAGCGCTTGGCTGCTGTTTGAAATCAGTCGCTGCCATTTCTTTCCGTGCTGATAGTGCAGCCCTTGTGTTACTGAGGAGTTTTGTGTGTCGGCAGGTGCGTTACCCAGAACGCATCACAATCCTGAGGGGCAATCACGAAAGCAGACAAATTACGCAAGTGTACGGCTTCTACGACGAGTGCCTGCGGAAGTACGGCAACGCCAACGTCTGGAAGTATTTCACAGACCTGTTTGATTATCTCCCGCTTACGGCTCTAGTAGATGGCCAGGTAAGCCTCGAATAAGGAAAACTCCTCGTTTCATAAAGCTGTCGTGCCATTTCCTTACCAGCACTCTCATAGGGTTCATTTTAAATGACTCCTCGACGAGTGGGAAGCCCCTCATGGTACATTAAATGCCAGCTGAGTGGTGGCCGTAAGGCAAGATACTCGTGAAACCAAAAGCCGTGGTATCTTTGCTGCTGCTCTGGTCTTCGTATGCAAGGTGCAGCCTCTTAATTTTGTTTCCTTCTGCTTGAATTAGATTTGGTTTCCTCCGCTGCGAGGGCGAGACGGCCGTAATTGTCAAAGAAGAATAATACTGGGGTTAAACACAGCTGTTTCTGAGATGTGTCTTCACATAACAATATCCACTGAATGGACTGCTCTTTTTTTTTTCTGGAACAGATATTCTGTCTCCACGGTGGCCTCTCTCCATCCATAGATACACTGGATCATATCAAGGCCCTGGACCGCCTGCAGGAAGTTCCACACGAGGTAACGGGAAAGGGAATGCATCGTGATCTTAGATAGCTGTTGGTGGAAAATGCAAATGTGAAATCCATTTAAGCAGTGAGACACACGGTTACACAGCAGATTATTGCCTTTCTGAGAGCTAGAGCAGACGAACGTACATGTGGGCAAAACACACCCCAGTCAGTACGCTGTGATGGCAGCAGGGGGGTTCTCACAGCTGGTTTTTGCAGAATCGTGGCATTTCTGGACCGTCACGCTGACTCAGAGAATGGTGTTTGGCAGGGGAAAGCCTTTGCTCCCTTCAGCTTCATCACAGACACTCTGTGAGCAGTCAGCCACCATGGGAAGGAAGCCAGCTCACGTCACTGTCCCTCCTCAGCCTTTCTGCTGCGTTGTTTTACCTGGTCCATCACTTCTGGGTGCCTGTGGGATACGCTGATGTGCAGGAGTCTCATAGGGAGCTTGAGGTCTGGTGTGGAGAATCCACCTCCTGAGCCTTCCAGCTCTTCTGGTTTGGGATGATTGGGGCTGGGATGCTCCCAGTGACAACGAACCGCTCGTCCTGCAGCATCGTTGGTGTAACTGCAAGAACAACGCAGCAAAGTCTGCCCAAGCCTTCCAAAAACCTGCAATAAACTCTTTAAATGGCTTCCAGAATCAGGAGGCTACCTGGGGGAAATTCTAGCTGTAGCTAGGTGCAATGATTATGTTGTTGCTCTGGGGTTTCCACAGTCCTGTGCTGCTTACACGTGCCAAAACCTGGCTTTCCTGAGGACCCCACGTGTCAGTGCGATCCCCGCTGGGTAGGAAACAGCAGCAGGCTTGGGTAAATAGGGAGGATTTTTACTGCTCAGCAAGAAAAGCCACTGAGCTTCATTTGTGATGTACACCAGGGTGTTTCTGAATGTGTCGAGTCCCAACAGTAGACTAGGAGAGGAAATCAAATGATGGATACCCTGCTAGAAGGGCTGCTGAAGGCTCTGTGCTGCTTCGTGGAACACAACATCCCTCCTATGGGTTGTTCCCTTTAATTTTTGCAACGTGGCTGGCACTCCCGAACCCTTTGTGTATCCCAGGGTGTGCAAACCTCCTCACGTTGGCCTTTTTCAGACCGTGAGGGTCAGGAGTAAGAATGGGGATGTGCTCTCCAGGTCTCGGCGTCTCTTCAGCTACTCGAAGTGGAAATTTCTATTTTAAAAGGGGCTTTTTGTAACAAGCTTGTTAGCAATCTAATGAGGAACGCTTCTCTCTTTCAAGGGTCCCATGTGTGACCTGTTGTGGTCGGATCCGGACGACCGTGGCGGCTGGGGTATATCTCCCCGTGGTGCTGGCTACACGTTTGGGCAAGACATTTCCGAAACATTTAACCACGCCAACGGGCTCACGCTGGTGTCCCGTGCTCACCAACTCGTCATGGAGGTAGGGCAAGCAAGATGGGGCTAAATAAAAAACCCTACAAACGTGAATTACTGTCTCCTCTCTGAGATCTGCTGCTGCGGGTTTGCATAAAACACCACCTAAGTTTTACACAGGTCAGGATTAAAGAGGGACAAGAAACAACCTCAAATGATGTTATTTGACCTGTGGTGTAAATAAGGGGTGTTTTTCCCCTTTCCCACCCCGAGTAAATGGCCACAGGGACCCTGTCTCACCCCAGTTTTGGGAGCAATAATCTCCTTACACACCGACTGCTCTACTTCCACCCCGGCTGCGTTGCACAGCCTGCCCCGTGATACTCAGCAGTCGACTGCAGCAGGGATTAAGCCGTAATTTTGGCTGTCGATGGGCTATTCTCGTGTGTCTTGCTGGAGAAATGCCAGGTGGGTCAGTGGAGCGGGGGTATTTTTGAAACCTCCTTCAAGTGCATCCCGTAAGTAGTTCTGTGTGTCAGGAGTCGCTGGCGTTGAGCGGATGAGTTCTCGTTTGTGGTGGAGGAAAGCTGAAGGCACAGCTAAAAAGCTGTAGGTTTTGTGGTACGATGCATCATTTACGTACGAAACGGCTAAAGACCCCAATGGCTGATCTCTCTGCAGAGTGGTTGAAGCTGTTTTGGTAGATGATTAACCTTTTAAAATGAAACTGCGTCAGTTGGAAACACCTACAAGAAGCCTACGATTTCACCAACGCCTTCGGATCGTTTCAGGCCTTAAGAGGAACTTGGATTGGGCTGAGGTTTGAGGTTTAACAGAGACCTTTCTCCCCTCTCTTTCTGGCAGGGTTACAACTGGTGCCACGACCGAAACGTCGTGACCATTTTCAGCGCGCCCAATTACTGCTACCGCTGCGGGAACCAGGCTGCTATCATGGAGCTAGACGACACTTTAAAATATTCCTTGTGAGTACCCTGGCTCCTTCCTCACCCCTGTGTTTGGTGAGGGATGTCTCATCCTTTCCAAAGGGGCTCTTGGGTGAAAAACCAGCTCAGACCACTCTGGGAGTTAACGTTGCACGCTCTACCTGCGAGTATATCCAAAAATAAGCAGTGAGTTAAGCTCTTAGAAGCTTTTCTGGCGTTATCTCTTCTTCCTAAGGCATTCTCTTAATCCCTCGATGGCCCGAGCCAGCCGGAGAGAGTGAAGACAGATTTTCTTGATGGACTTATCTTTATTTCTGGTAGCACTGGGCTGTGTAAATGCTGGTGGGGGATTTGCTGCAGTGCTGCCTGCTGGGTGGCCTTCACTCCCATTTCTACCAGCTGAGGAGTTTGCTCCCTTTTTGGGGGACTTTGTACCTCTGGAAGGTTTTACGTAGAAGCAGCTGGGGATAGGAAAGCAGCAGCATTTGGAGAGCAAGTCCAGTATTTATTGTGGCGTTGGAAAACAGAGGAAATAATCCCTTTTTTTTTTTTTTTTCCTCGTCCACAGCCTTCAGTTTGACCCAGCACCTCGTCGTGGAGAGCCTCACGTTACCCGCCGTACCCCAGACTACTTCCTATAAACCTCTCCTGCCCTTTGTAGAAGGAAGTACGCCCGGCGTTTTCAAGAGCAACAACATTTACACGTTTCTGTAAGAAATCGGGGTTCGTCTCAACTTGCAAAATCCCCATCATGGACCAAAACGTGCCATACAGAGGACGAAGAGCGTTGAGCACAACTTGAGACTGAATTCCTTACGACACTAAATCTATCCCGTACCGATCGGCCCCGACAGTCCGTTTGCCTGCTGTATTTGTAGTCATTGGGTTGTGTTGGTTTTTCTTTTTCTTCTGGACTGCTCAGAGAGGAAAAAGTAACTCTGGTTTAACACTTCCATCTCCTTTGGCGCTTCTTTGTACATTCTTATTTTTAGTTCTAGTGTTTAACTGGCATGAAGTAGAGTCCTGGAGGTCATTCTCAAGGGAAATGCACACTAACTTCTTCCCCCACCCCCTCTATTTTATTTTATTGCGAGACACCACCGACTTAACTGGAGAAAGGAAGCGATTCCTGCTTGGGAGTACGTTGTCATAACGGATAAAAGCGTCCCCTTCTTCGCTCTCCCCGCTCTGTCTTGAGCCCGCCTTTCGTTTTGGATTTTTTTGGGTTGGTTTTGTTGTTTTTCCCCCCCTTCCCTCCCCACCTTTTCCCCCCCCTCTGTATATTTGTCCTGGAAGTGCTTGCAATCCTCCTCGCTGTACCTGAACCAATAAACTTGCCGTTGTCCGCCCCAACCCGTGTGGTCTGTGCTGGAGAGGGGGCGGTACCGGGGGCGGTACCGGGGCGGAGCGGCGGGGCCCTACCGAGCGCGG